ATTTCTTGTTTGTTGACTTGACTATATTATAAAAGCAATGGATCATAAGTAGCTGTGCGTCCATCGAGTTATGGATGCACTTGGGAGGTTGCTTAAGCACTCAAAAAAGCTAGAGTTGCACTCCGCTTCACGTCGTGCAACTCTTACGCTTTTCTTCGTGCTTAGCAACCTCCCAAGTGCATCCATAACTCGATGGATGCATGCTACTTATGATCCATTCCTTAAACTGAAGGGGAGGGGAGTAATAAGAATGCTATGCAAATGTCAATAGAAGTGTAGTAAATAATGAGGGGAGTCTCAACATGCAGTTTTGGCATGGATTGTAGGTAATGCTGTGATTAACAATAAATGAAGAAGTGTTACTACCTTCTTGCAGTCTGGAAAAATGCTTGTTTTCTTCTCATCAATGAAAGCTGTCTCTCCTCTGATGAAGAATGAAATTCTGAAGAAGGTAATTCATAAGAGGTTGAATCCATTTCTGAGGGACTGTGTTTTGTGCATGTTATGTCATCCCTGCTTTCTGCAATTGGTGGTCTTTCATCTTGGCCGGCACCTGTTATATCTCTGTTTTCTTCATTTGGTGTTTCATCTGGTGGTCTTTCATCTTGGCCTGCACCTGTTATATCTKTGTTTTCTTCATTTGGTGTTTCATCTGGTGGTCTTTCATCTTGGCCTGCACCTGTTATATCTCTGTTTTCTTCATTTGGTGTTTCATCTGAAGCAGTTGGCATCATTTCATCCTGATTTGATGTTGATGGCATTTCCTCATCAGATTCTATTATCCAAGGGCTGGTTATGCTTATGTGGTCTGTATCGCTCCGTTCTGCTGTTTCATCTGACTGAGAACCATCACTGTCAGCTGTATGTATTGTTTGTAACAGCTCAGCTTCTATTTCTGGTTGTTGCTCAGGAGGTGTCCATACCTTGGAGGAAAATGAATATTGCATAGTAATAAAGTATATGTGAATATAAGAATCCAATTGGAGCCTAAACGCTACTGAAAATGCCTGAAAAAAGCCTGAATTTTTTCAGGCAATTTCAGTAGCGTTTAGGCTCCAATCAGATTCTTATTATAATATTTCTACATCACAATGACTTTGAAATGTGTGACTGTATATAATTAATTACTTACAGATGGCACTGCAATCCTCCCTTCCAGGAAATTATCAGTTGTAAGTTCAACTGAGTGTGTTTGTCGCAGGTCTTCAATGATGATGTTGAATGGGACACGAGGAAACAAGTCTTGCACCTGATGTGCCTGTTGATGTTAATAAATCTATTTTATTCCTCTCTTCTTTTCCTCAATTCCCTAATTTTATTCTTTATTCCCTTCTTTCAAATATGGACAATTTGACAAATACCATATTGTGCAGCTTCTCCCATTCTTTCTTCTCTCTCAACACCCAACATGCTAAATTGTAATACCATTTTACATGTGTTGAAAGTTGAAATCTGACTTAGGTCAGACCAGAGGTTGTTTGAGGTGAGGTCAATATAGGTTTGGTTTGGTGTTGGGACATGGAGCTGGCTATTTCGTAGCGCACATGCTTTTGCTATGGAACTTCCTAGGGGTAGATCATGTATTATCAACTCCCTGTATGTCATTGTGAAGACAAATGGATAATTCTAACTTAGTAGCAATTACATTGCTGGTAATCATGACACAAAAAGACTTACCATCAGTTCTAGTCGGCTTTCTGGGAGTTGTTGATTTGCATTTATTTCGTTTGCATGGGAGTGGACGACTTCAACAGAGAAACTTGGAAACCAACTGGCAATTTGAGTTCCTGGGGAAAATAACATTTTTAATGATATATTATACCTTGTAAAATAAGAGCGGCTTTAAAACATTGTTGAAGATGAAGTCTTTGTGAAGTCTATGGAGTTACTTACCATCAAAGTGAAAGAAGTGATTCCTGAGAAAAGTAGGAAAAGGAAAATTAGAATAAATGTAATTTAAAGTAAATTAGGTCCTCATTCTGTGTTTAAATCATCTGCTATCTGGTGCCTATCTTTGACAATGATGTTCACAAAGGAATTGTTACCTAAGGAACTAGTCACTGCTTTAGATCATACTTAATATTAACTATGTTTAGATGATAATAAGTTGGTTCATGGAAAGTAAATCACTAATTTTGATGAAGGATGTATGAAAGAAGAGGCAGCAGTTGCAAAACTGACTTTACTAGCTTCAAAGGCATTGCATCAATCAACCCACCAACACAACAACGGCCAGCAAAACAAGGAACTAAAGGGCTTGGTATTATTTTCATACCTCCGGATGGCATGGCCCATCATAAATGCAGCCATCCCTCTTGGCTGTTCATTTTCTTGGTTGTTCTCAGGCTGAAGATCATCTGCTAATGACTGGCGACATGTGGGACAAGAAGTATCATTCTCTAACCAAGAACGAAGGCAGGAACTGATAATGAAAAAAGGAGATAAAGTAAATGTCAGACTGTTATGAGGTTGATTGCCCCTTGAACTCTACAATATTGTACTACAGCTACATTTACTTGGAGCAAGGAGGTTTGCACTACTAATGCACTGCAACCATAGGCTCAATGCTTTGAGCTGTTGAATCATGAGAAGAGTTATTTGTTGATTCTCTCCAGTGCTCTGAAAGTCTTGATGATTCTTCAATCATTTGGTATATTATTTCCAAGCTTCTGGGCTTTATGCGCATCCATCTTCAGCGAATGCTACGAATATATGGTCGAAGAATCATCAATCTGTGAGATACTATAACACAACCTACAAGACAACACTAGGTCTTGTCTTAGATGCTAGATTTTCCTCCCATAAAAGTCAACGCTTTCTTTCAGATGTGCTGTATTTGTTTTGTACTGTAGCAGTATCCTTGCCATGATTGAAACTTCATGGCAGAAGCTAAATATCTTCTTTCATTAGTGCATCATTATTTCCTACCTGTGAAAGATATGACCACAGGGTAGCTTCCTTGCCACCTCCATCGTGTCCCAACAAATGGCACAGTCATCATTGTTTAGGACGAGTTCTTCATTTGTTGCTGTGGGAAACTTCTTTTCCATGCACTTTAGGATACGAATAAAGTTCCTGTGTCTAGCAAGCCTTTTCTTGATTTCATAAAACAGATGACGAAGCTGCATACACAGAACAAGGCTGGCCATACTCAGGAATATATTAGACCACAGCTGTGATGTAAAACAAAAATAGAAAATGTGACGTCAATATTTCTGTTAAAATGGTTATTCACAAAGGTTAATGTTGTTCAATGTTGTTCCAAGCAGTTTACCTGGAAAACCTTATAGTACTTTAGGCAAGCAATTCCAATTCTTTCACCTTAAACCTCTTATGAATACCGTCGCTTTCACCTAAGCGGAAACACTTCTAAAGAAAACCGCCACTAATTGGGGGYGGTAAGTTATCGTTTGGGGCCTCAAACGTTGACGTTTGGTGCCTCAAACTTTGACGTTTCGCGCTTCAAACTCTTCGTATATTTCTCGATATCGTGGGGTTAGACAGTTCTCCACAGTCAGCAAAATCAATAAATTGTTCTTTAATTTCCTGAACAGAAGTTAATCACTTGGTCTGAAAAATAGTTTCCAATAATACTTTATCGTCAAATGATAATTTACTTGGTAATGGATCTACGTCGCCTGTTTCTCAATATTTTTAACCACTTTGAAACTGTGGAAGGCCAAACTTGCAATTGCATACTATAAACTTCTCGTATTGGCAGAAATGATGCCTTTTCCACCGCTTCATACCTAAACCATCTAGGTAGTGCTGCATCTGAATGAAAATTGCGACCATAAATGTTTGTACGAATCATAATTACTCAGAATTTCGTGCAAACTTTTAACGTTTCACTCTGGGACACCGGTTGAGTTTACATGTGAAAACATCAAAGTTTGAGGTGCCAAACTTCAGACTTTGGTCATCAAAAGTTAACGTACCGCCCCCAATTAGTGGCGGTTTTCTTTAGAAGTGTTTCCGCTTAGGTGAAAGCGATGGTAGTATTCATATCTTGAGTGACATTGACACCAAATTTTAATTGAAATATACAATATAATGACAAGGAAGTCATAGATAAACACAAAATAAATAAAAACAATAGGCATCAACAGCTCTTATCCATGATTGGCCATTTGCACTGTCTCATAGGTCAGGTGACATGATCCACCATCCCCCACCCGCAGCCCCTGATGAAGCAGCTATCTCGTGAATCAGAGAAATAGAAATTTAAGTATACCAATATTGTTGAGCAAAACTAGTGCTTTTTAAAGGGGGATAGGACCATATGTGAACCCTCAGTTCAAATAACCTTTTCTATAGTTTGATTACAAGCTGTCAAAAGTATCTCCGGCCATTATGATACAAAATAATCTTTTCGCTTGAAATTGCCTCACTTGAACACCAGCCCACAATACTTTTGACAGCAATGACATCTCAGAATCAATAAACCATCAGGGCTTAAAGTGATGGCCAGTCAATTTCAAAGTAGTTTAGCTCGATCATCAGAATCTCATTCATAGCCAAATGTTACTGGTCAGAATCACTGGCAAAAAACATTATTTTGACCACACAAGTTCTTATGCTGGCTAGACATTGTCCAGTGACTGGCCATTATTTTAAGCTTTGAACCATTGAAGACTCTACTTTACCAGCATGTGAAGATGGTGAACCAAGTCAACTGAGTAAGTTCCCAGATCCAGTAACAGGTCCGTGTAGTAACACCATGTAGCTCGTCCTTCCCATGTACCAACATGACCAATTTCCCAAAGGTGAATTCCATACCTAAAGTTGTAATAAGCAATCATTATTAGAGCACTCGAACAAACACTATGGCTRCTCAATTCATAAATAATTCAACCACAATAGCAACTATGCATTATTGTTTCAGTAGGACTAATCTGTACCTTATTCCAACATGAACGATTTTGATAAAAAGCAGCAGACACTATAAAACAAGAAAATTTAAGAGTAAGTGACAGGTTGTTTACTGGTCCCATCTAGAAGGGGGAGGGATTGGAAGGAGTGAGACAACTGATGACATGACCATGGCAGATCCAGAATGATTTCAAGAATGGTCCACAGCTGTTACCTTAATCTAAAAAGCCATCACAAACACAGTTTCCTTTTTAGTTTTTACCTTATATTCATAGTATTTTTCAACTCCAAAGTGGGTAGGCTAGCCACCTATTCTACCCCCTGGATCTGCCTTTGCTTATATATATGGTACCCCTTGTGGCATGTCTTAGTATTCAGGCATTAGGAAAGGCGACCAATATATTTGTATTTGTGGAATAGGGTAAATGACTTTTGTTCCACCTGGGAGCTAATGGCTTGTTGTCATTATGGCTACTCGCAATTGAGCTCATTAAACTTCATCAAAAATTTTGATTTAAAAATCGTATTAACTATAATCCCTGAAGCAACCTCTGGGTTGATTAAGCTTGACATGTCTTTCGCCTCAGAGGTATGACTGTAATATTGCAAACCAAAGCCTTTTCCTTGTGATTATTGAATTTGCCTTTACCTCTGCCAACATGAATGTGAAGGTGTGAATTCCATCAGGCCAACCAATGAATAAAGACAGAAAAAACAATCCATTGCAACACATCARCAAAACAATCAAAAGACCAATGATCTTGCCATGGGTTCCAGGTGAGGTAGTTGGAGAGAAGGACAACTGAAAATTATTAAAATCACAATAAATCCAGATTATGTGCAAACCAACATCAATGACATAGAATAGACTATGCTTACATGAATGCAATCTTAGGCCCCATCCACACTATGCCGGATAAATTTGAATTTTTATTTATTCGGTCAGGCCTACCGTCCACACTAGTCCAGGTGAATCCAGAACAATTTTTCACCGAAAACAAATTTTTTTTGAATACCGTCTCCAGAGTGGAACAATTTGAAAATGCTGGCTAGCCGTATTAGTGTGGACGCAGAACATTAATYGTATCCGAAATGTTTCGRATATGATGACGTCATGATTGTCATGGGAACATGGCGGAAAGGCTAAAAATTCACCGCTGGCTCAATTTCAGCTTTGATGCACATGCTCAGATGTGCAATGAAGCGTTTTTGCCGCCTCTGATTGGACTAGCGTGGACGTGAAACATTTTATCTGTTTTCATGTGTGGATGGAAAACTTTTTTTTCGGTTTCAGTGTGAAAGTTGCGGATTCAAATTTATACAGCATAGTGTGGACGGGGCCTTAGTGAAGGCAGGGTTCTAAATAACAGGACTCTAATTTAAAGACAGCATTATAGAGTGATGCATGTCTTCTTTCATCATGAGAACCAAGTCTAAAAAAGGAGTCCTATACTTACATATTCAAACCTGTTCTTGCAAAGCTGAGAAAATATTTGGAAAAACCCCAGCAAAGTGAACCAGGCTGTCCACCACATCACTTCATCTACTTTTTGGACATTCAGAACACCAAATATAAAGATAAACTTGTAGAAAACAAAATTCCAAAACCTGTCTTGAATTTGCTGTAACGAAAAAGAGGGAAATATTTTAAAATTCGAATGCAATGGAAAATAACAGATTATATCAAATTTAATCAATACCTACTACAGTTTGACTACAGTTTATATCAGTACCCTAAAAACGCGTGGCATTGTTTATTCTAATATAATATTAAGTTTAAATCAATTTGATAGTAGTAGCAATACAAAACTATTAAAGACTTAGTGAATCGAATTGCAAATATTCTGCAACACAGAAGAATATTTCAAGCTCATGTTTTGCTGTTTTCTTTTCGTTTATCTTTTTGTAAAATCATAATAACAGCCTTCAAATGCAAGTAAACAAAGACATCTCCTACAGCGCTAAGAAGAGCTGTAAGGAAATTAACGTTTTGCCTTCTCCAGCAAATTAATTTCGTTCGATTTTAATAAAAGCAAAATAACAAAAAATAATAATTAGATCTATGTACACTAATTTTTTTATCTACGGAGACGTAGACGACATAATGATTGGTTAAAAGGTGTTGGAATAAACGGCTAGACAAATAAGAACTTATACACGTACTCACGTATCGTAAATGCAATTTACGTAGAATGTTTTAAATGAAATACATAATAAGTGGAATTAAAATATTTAAAACTAAACTGTACCTGGAGTTCTGCTTCTCTTAAGTCACCAAAGACAACTCTTTGTATAATTTTGCCGAATATAAACAGACAGCAATAGGCCATATTCAAATTTGACTAAAAACAAGAAGAAAGAACAGTCTGATATGTTTAAAATACAAGGAAAGAAAGCTAAGCTAACAGTCTTATACTAAAATCATTCAAAAAGATATAACTTACCCAGAAACAAAAATTATCAGCTGTCATAAAGTCGTATATCGTAGTTTCTGGTTTCTCCTTGAGGTCTTCTGTATTGACTTCGTTTGAGTTCCATATCGTGTTTATCGCGTATAAACACGACGACACGAAGAGGAGGAAACTCACAGTTACGTATGTCTTGAGAGATGGAAGAGGTAGTTGTTCTAGGAATACTAGTGTCATTTTAAAAGGATACAAAATCAATCAGAAGGAAATTTTGGTGGGAAAAAACTGAAACCAAACTTCGTCCATGATGAAATCAACTCAGCAAATCGATCGGATCGTAGCCCGATTCCGATTCGATCGATTGCACAACGACGATGACGTCACACAGCGCAAAAAACCCTCCTCTAGACCACAGGCAGTCCAAGGTTGGTTTGGGATCCCGGCCGAGTCTCTTCTTATTTCTTACTGGTGGGGGAAAACGAGCTAAATTCAAAAAATAACCACACAGAGCGAAAGAAGTGCTATTTCTCAATGATCGGGTAAAATCTCGAGGCTTTATTTCACGTTTCAATGATTTTATTAAAATTTTTGAAGAATCCCCATACATTTCCTTATAACATGACACCACAGAAACCAAGCTTGGGCTACCTGTGTCTAGACCACTCCAAAATTATCATTTTTAACATTATCTTTAAAAACCTTAAAAATAAGAAAACATAGGATCGAATTTTAAAAAGTTATATATCTATATCAACTTCAAACTTTATTTTGCAAAAGGCATTTTTCGTTTTTAATATTAGTTAAAATAAATATTAAGCAATTTAAAAATTGTTTTTTTAAATGATTATCTTACGTTTCTTTTTTAATTCTACATTTCATTTCATTTTACATTTGATCTTACATTTTATTTTTTATTTTTATTTTYTTACGATTTTACAAAATCAGTTTTTCCCGCCAAATTTGTGAACTCACGCCCGCGAAGTGTAACGCAGCGGTTGCTGTTTATAACCTCGTTTTAGTGTTGGCGCTTGAAATATTGAAGGTTGTTGACCTTCTTTGAATCACTCAGATAAAATAAGGTTTAAAATTCAGCTATAAATAAATCCTTTATAGCTTTGATATACCAAGAAAACGTACCAATACAACCTGGAGGATCTAAGCTTACAGACTGATAATCTTTTAGTTCCAGGATTTGAATATTCGCGCCGAATGCCGAGGGAAAAAAGATGACATGACAAGATGGATTAGCCTTTTGAATGCCAAGTTTGAACACTGGAGTTCAACTTTATAGTGTCTAATCCTACTCGATATTATTAACGTACAATGGATATTAATGTTTCGGACACCTCGTTTGCCTATAGTGATATAGTCGGGCCTTCCCATGTAAGCGGATTGGAGTCGTTTTCTGATTTTGATGCGAGTGAATACAGTGAGAGTTTTGAGGATCAAGAAGCTCATGACAGCGGAGTAGAAGAAGAATCCGTCACTCCACAAAACCTGGAATCCTCACAGAACGAAAACAAGGATGCAAGACCAGACAGGTTAGCCTTTTGACTTGTTTTACTAGCAGGATTCGTAACGAATCATTTGAATTAACCGCCACGATAAATGTTTTCTTAATTACGCGTTGTGCTTGGGCTGTGGGCCGTTAAATTTGTTTGTTTTACCCTTCAAAACCACGCGTGTTTTTTCAAGCGATGCATACCTAAACGAGTTGTCCAGCTGCAGGTTTTGTTGCTTAAGCAAAGAAACAATAGGCAAGTGTATAGTTCGTTAATCCCACAGCTTCAACGGAACGAGACAGTAAATGCACTAACAAAAGACTGGATTTCAATTTGTTATCATATGTTACATGATTGATGTTGTTCCATGAACTATTACTTAATCATTAATGTCAAGTCTGATCACAAAGAACACAAGATTTTAAACACTAACATTAACAGGTATTTAACCCTTGATTCACTTATTCAGCAGCTGACTAATTTTTTTAATGCATGTAATTTAATAGCAGGTGGCTGTATAGTTAATACTGTCATCTTACTGATTAATGATAATGATAAAATTTAAAGAGGCGGTAATGGCATTAAATCTGCTCATTATCACTACCTCTAACTAATCTACTGTTTGGATGAAAAAAGTATAAAAGTCAAAATAATTGTTTGTTTTGATGATAAGAGAAGTACATATAGAAGTTCTAAGGCATTGTTCAAATGTCATTTTTTCTGTTACAAATGCATAAAGAAACAATAGATAATGAGGTCGTACACTGATCTAATTACATGCACAACAAGAAAGGTTTAGGTACTGGTGTAATGTCACAACTGACCAATGTTAGACTTGACAGGTTTTTGTAGGGGGGAAAACTGGTAAATGACTAATGTCTTTGAATAGAAAAAAAGAAATTTCAAAGAAAAATTTAGTAAAAAAATATTTAAGTTTGATTGATACTGCTGTATTTTATGGTTATAAAGTTGTTTAATTAGCATTATCCCCATTTTTGAGAACCAAAATATTCGCAAATACCAAAAGTGAAATAAATAATGCACACAACATCACTTCTGCAGACTTTTTGAAGTTCACAGACCTTCACTTTCAAGGACATATGAATATTCTATGGAAATAACTGTAAGACAGAGCAATATAGAGCTAGAAATAATATTAGAAACTGGAGTATTTCACATTTTGTTAATCTGATTGGTAGTGCAATATGATGTCATTTCTGTTTTCAGTTTTTCCTTTGGACTGCATAATCTTCCTACTGGAGATATTCGGGAATTCCTGAATGCATTAGAGAGTGCCAAAGCACAATTGGGTTAGTAACAACCAAATATATTATGAAATATAAATAGGCCTTTTGCAATAGATTGACACGTGATTGCTAATAAATGGCAAAAAAATTTGGACTTCCTACATTTAAAGATTTTTTGCTGGATTACTTATGTCAAATCTAAAACCTTTTCTAAAATGCTTTTCTCCCTTATGAAATACTTTTGATTTCAAGATACAAAGCAGTTTAAAGTTTGTTTGCCATCCAGCAGAGCCTCCCCCAAGAAACTTTGAGCTGAATTGATTCATTATCAAAACGATATATCAGCATGTGACTGTACATGTATATATGTGTATGTGTGTGTGTGTATATGTGTATATGTATGTATGTATATATATATGTATATATTATATTTTTGTATAAGGCATTAAAATAGTTTTACGATTAAAAAACGTATGTTATAAAAAGTGCTAAAAGGTAWAAATGAKAGAAAGCATTCCGTTCTTTTGTTTTATAGTTTGACTCTTTGTCTCCATTTGTAAGACTAGGTTTCACAGGCCTTTTCAAGTAAAATCATTTTATCTATAATAAATTGTGTAGAGTAAACTAAACAAAATAGAACCATAGCTATATGGAGGAGGTCGGTGTATGTAAAAAAATAGAATCATAGTTATTTATAGTTATGTGGAGGAGGTCGGTGTATGTAAAAAAAAAAAAAAAAAAGCATGTGACTGTACATGCAAATTAGCCTATAGATTTTTTCTTAACTATATCATCGCATTTTAGATTGTGCATAACAAGCCTTAAAGAAAGTGCTATTTGATAAATTGTTTGACTGCACATAAATAAAATCTAATAAATTGTATTCTTAAGGAATGGCTATTGAGTGTCAAGAAAAAGATTCTCCAGTTGAAGATGAAAGTTCTCTTGGAATCCTACACCTAGATTCATTACAAGGTACGTGTATATTAATATATAATTAACAGCTAGCGACAAGAGAAAAAGTATTAGACTTAATACTATAATGCAATCTAGCCAAATAAATAATACAGTTGAGTGCAGTCAATAATGAGGAGAAAACTTCAATACTTCAAAAATGTTTTCAATACTGAAATGTTTTGTCAGGGCAAGGCTAATTCTATTGTAATCTAATCTGATTTACCATTCCATGGTAAACAGAAAGCCTAACACATGTGGCAGCTCACTTTATAAGGCTATCACTAGTTCAAATTTGAATTTAGAAGTTGATTTTTGCGGAGGGTAAGTAAAACCGGAAAACCTGGAGAAAAACCCTCGGAGTCTAGGAGAGAACCATCAAACAACTCTACTCACATATGGCGCCAAGTCTTGGAATCCAACCCACATTACCTTGATGAGAAGCATGTTTCTTCACAGAATGCCACCAGTGCTTCCCACCTCACTCATAGAATAAATTGGAATTTAGCATGTTTGGTTTTGCAGAAGGAGGAACACATGTGATGCCAAGTCCAGGAATCCAACCTGAAACCCGAATCAGAGACCACAGTCTAAGTGAGAGGCGATTTGCCCTACCTATGATTCTCAAAACAAAGATTTAAAGGCAACCATTCTTATCATATTCTGCAGAAATGTCTGGTTTTGGTAGTGGAAGATCCTCTTCAGAGCTCTTGTCATCTAGCCAAGCAAATTACAAATCTGAAGATGAGAATAAGGATGGTAATCATGCTGACAGTAAAGATGAGGGAGAGCTTCCATTTGCTGGTGAATATAGTGAGCCAATGGTGTTAAGCCACCTTACAGACAATACAACTCTGAAAGACAAGTCTGATACTGGTAAGTACTGTAGTATCTTTCTTTGCTTTTCACATCAAATTTTAAGGGTGGTGCGCATGAAAAGGATATGGATGCCCTATGTTATAGTGCCAGTAAATAAGTCGGAAACCTACAGGACTTAAAATAACTGATAGTCATCAGACAATGTCCGGCCAGAATTGGAACTTGTCCAGTCAAGTCTTTGCATTGTTGGTCATTTTGAGTAATAACGTTGAGCCATAAACAAGGTGTGACCGAGCTAAAAGTAATTTGAGTGATAAATATAATCAGCAACTGACCTGCCATCATTTAAAGCTCTGACATAATAAAAATACACTTTAATCATAAAGAACAAATGTGGTCCAAACATGGCAGACCAAGAACAACAATGCAAGCAGTCAGCCATTGTAAGCGTATGCACACACACAACTACAACTGACACTATTGTCCTCAGGCAAGGAGGACTTACTAATATACAGTAAAGTGTGTTTTTTCGCCTCTTTTCTGACCCTATTTTAAGGATTTTTAAGTTATAGACAACTTATAATTATTTTAATTGCCAACCATTTCGTTGACTTGGAATTTTCAATTTTCATTCTTTCCAGCAGAGCATCCACACAGTTTTTTTAATCTCCCAGCTAGTCAAGAAGTTGATGTCACTACACAATCAAATGGTGACGCTTCAAATTTCATGGCCCTGAGTCAGAGCCAAGGTATGTGTTTGTTTCATATCACAGCTGCCCTACCTATGTAACTGGGTATCCTACTATCTGCTGCCCGGTCAGCTCAGTTGGTAAACGCTCACCTTACTACTTCATGTAAGACTACATGAAATGGCACTATTCCGTAATAAAGAATAAGGTTAGTTTTTTTTGGATTTGAGTTATGGTTAGGATTTGGATTAGGGTTTCAGGAAGTTATAATCAATAATAATTAATTAATTAATTAACTAATAGTGCCATTTCATGTAGTCTTACATGAAGTAGTAACTGTCGGTCTGTTGTGCTTACTCAAATGGCTGATAAACTAAGAACCAAAATTGATAACCAAATAAATAAACATTTTTTACTAAGCTCTCAAAATAATTCTTATTCTCATACTAAACATTCAATTATTGTAGATGAACTTCAGTTCATGCTACAGACCACAAGATCAGGTAGTGGGGATGGTGGAGAATTGATTGACAGAGTGTCGATAACATCAAGCATCAGTTTTCTACAGTCACAGACATTTCCCGAGAGTGTCTTCAGTCAGAGTCTCAGCAGGTAACTAGTTTGTTCACTTGCTATCCAATCCCTTACTTAATCAATCCAAAAACTTTTTTTATTATTTGATGTATCACCCTTACCTTATTAGCAGTTACAGTTAATTGATGTCATGCGTGACCAGTAATTCCAGGAAGTAAAATGTAGGTTTCAAGACTTCATGTTTAGATTTAAAATCTCCAATAAATCAACTACTATATTCCAAAAAAGAATTTAAAAATTAAAACAGAAAAAAATATTAAAAATTAAAAAAGGTAAAAAATAAGGATTTGAACCCAATACCATTTATGATTGTGAAATATTTTCCAAGAGAATTCACTTTCCAACCACATTGCTGAGAATTAACTAGAAAATCTTTATTTTTTAAGTTAAAAGTAATTTGAATTACCAGAGTTTTGAGCGTAGTTGGTACCTAGTCTTGGAATTACAGTGAAGACAAAGCTGCCAAAAGTCTGATCGAGACATGAGAGATATCGGTCACGTGTGACGTGAGTTAGCTGTAAGTTAACTTATAAAGGGTATATTGATTTCAGCTATAGCAGAGGGTCTGGAAGTGGAACAGATTCAGGATCAGGAAGTGACAATGACGCCAATAATCACAGAAGTGATACTGACAATGGCAGACAACAGCCGTCACCAGATCTTATTCATAATGCTGGTGATGGTAGCAATGGACATTCCTCCAGCTCTGTCGGACGGCCAGGACTAGAGGGTGCCAATTCTGATGCTGAGGATAATTATGCTGTCAGTGGCCCTTCATCTGATGTTGGAGGTTCTATTGCTGGATCAATAGGTGGGTGTAAAGCTATGATTAAAGTAGCATCCTTGCACCTTGTAAAATCAAATATATTAATAATCAACCTAGTGTTAGAATAGTAACAGTTCATTAATAGCTCAATAGCTAGCTACATGTAAGTTTTTACTGGAGCAGTATTATATTGGTGAAGAATTAGCACTCACCATTGTGTCATTTCTGTATCACTGTCAAATAGACATCAGTTTTTTTATCTGTCTGTCATCATCACGTTGTCAAAGTAGTGTGGATCCAGGTGAAACTGACACATAAAAAACTGATGTCAATTTGCTTTTTACAATGACAAAAACAACGAAAATGAAAAAACTTCTCGTTTCTAGTATTTAAAACAACCAACAGAAAGAAAAGGTTGTCATTGACATCAGCTAATTTTTCTGTCCTCTCATTGATAATAAAAAATAGCCAATCAGCAGGTGAGAAATTTGTATGTTATTGTAAAATATCCAATTCCTCATGTTCATTGAATGACTGAGGGTCTCGTTAGATAAATAATTAAATGTATTCTATGAATCATTGTTTTCAGAGCTGCGGCAGTCTGGTGAGGGAGATGATGTCATGCCTGATCTTCCTGGTGATGGAGGAGGAGGAGGTGATGGTAGTAGCGGCCACAGCAGTGATGATGGCCAACCCAACGGTACAAATCTAAGTAATCATGTCTGCTATTCTTAGCTTCCTAGAGTTGTGTCTAGAAGACTAACAAGTGCATAGATTGGAGTCTAGCACCATTTCTGGTTCAGATTATGTAGTATAAATTAAAGGAAGCAACATATTAGCAACCCATACCAAGTATTTTTCATTAATTTACCAATATATTCAACCTCTATCTTATACAAAGAATTATATGTGACAGAAAAAAAGCGAAAAAATACAGTTTATTTGATCGATGGTAGTCTATTGCCCAATTTCCATGTTGCAACTGTAGCTGAAATGAAAACAAATATAAAAGACTTTCTAGGAGAAAATGCCAATCCCTAAAATGAAGGTTGCATTGACATAGAGCATTTTCACTCATGTGAGAAGGCAGCCATAAACAGTAGAAACTTTCTGCACAGTATTTGCATAAAGATAGAGTTCAATTCCCGGAGAATAGAAAATGTATTGTTTTGGTACCCCACAATGGCCGCTGTGACGTTATGTGAAAGCACTCTAGTGAAAGCTTATTTCTTGGTATTTTTGATTAATTTTGTAACTTATCCTCATTCTCTAACCAAGGTTCTGGTCAGAACTCAAGTGCTCGATCCACACCAACCAGCTCTATTTCCAGTAACAGTGATCACTATGTTCCTATGGTAACACCTCAAGTCAGTTCATTAGGAACACTAGAAGTCGCTGGCAGCAGAGGACCACCTGTGGGCCATGCATCAGTAGATGGATCACCTCCTCTTATTCCCTCTCCACCCACCCATCCAGGGGAGTACACCAATACTTCCTTAGACCAGTTTGACGTTTTGGCATCTTCTACCCCTATGGTTAGGCCAGGAAAGGTATTGTGCTTCTTAGCTACCTAGGAGTCAAGAATGATATTACAAGCCATAACACCTACGACAGTCTGTTGATGATGAAGACTTTACTCACACTACCCTGTTAATGCAGATACACCACTGCTGAGGATATTTGACAAAAGACAGATCAATCACAGCATCCCAATATAGCTACCAAAATTATTAGCTGCATAGCTACCCACATCCCCAGCATAGCTACCCACATCCCCAGCATAGCTACCTACATCCCCAGCATAGCTACCCACATCCCCAGCATAACTACCCACATCTCCAGCATAGCTACCCAATTTCCCAGTATAGCTCCCCAAATCTCTGTCAAATCCCAGGGCTCATTATCGACGTGCAGTTATGTCCCTGGGTCTACGATAGTGACAATCAAGAAAAGAAATTAAGCTAAAACTAAATGTAATTGTTCTTTTTAGAATGCATTTAACTTTGAGACTCCAGTCAACATAGAGTCCTCAGCAATTGGTTCACAGTATCTATTAGCAACACATCCCACAAGGCAAGGACAGGGAGGTATTGTAGTACAACCTACCATGCAGCAGCAGGATGGAAGTTTCCATCTCTCACAGGTTAGTAGTGCCGTAAATCCTCTATTTAGCCCCCCAGGGGGCTTATTTATTTCAGGCATGCTTGAGGGAGGGCTTATTGGAGAGAGGGGGCTTAATAGAGAGGGGGGCTTATTAATTTAGTTGTGTCAGTGAGTTGTTTGTAGGGTGTCAATGGGTTGTTGGTAGGGTGTCAGTGGATTGTTGGTATAATCCAATGGGTTTTTTGTTAAGTAGTGGTGGTAGAGTGTTAGTGGGTGATGATAGGGTCTCAATTGGGTGTGGATGGTGTGCATAATGGTTAGTGAAAGGTTTTTCACTTTAACCAGATCCTTAGCACTTTGAGGTAACATTGGTAAAGTGCCAGTGAAGGTAATACTTTTAAGTATATTAAAATATGTTCTGTTAACAGATATTAGAAAGTTCAAGAACCAGGGATGATCATGACAACACTCTAACAGAAGCAGCATCAATTGACTTTGAAGCTCAAGGACTAACTCCAAGACCACCACTACGCAACATCTCTGACAGTGACCAGGATAAGGTTAGCACCCCAGAGCAAATATTTTTTTCTGTATCTGACTTTGAATGGATAAAGTCCTATACTACTATGATAGTCATAGATGATAATATTATGAATTGCAATATTATTATCAAAATGAAAATTTTTATTAAAAAATAAATAAATTTGATATTGATTTTTTTCCAGACTCTTACTTCTAAAACTCCAGCAAGAGGTCATGGTAATCTGGCAACAAGTAACCTAAGTGAAGGTCAACCAAGAGACTCTGATATCTTGAACCTTGGCACCAGTGTTAACTCCTCTATTGGATTTCAAGAAAGTTTCCTTGGACTATCTGCCAGTGCTGTCGATAACTCTCTACTGTGGAAGGTAAGAAAATTAATGGTAAGATATTATCAAGTAATAGTATCATTAAGTTTGAAATAAAATACCACTTCACACTTTATCTTACAGGTCTTTCACTATTTATAATGACCACATAAAATGAGATTCAGTCATGCGAAATAGAAAAACATTACTCTCAGACACTATGCTGTAATTAATTCTGTTAACTTGGCTATTCACAAATTTTTCCTTGAACGTGTAGTTCCAGAAATTATCCATGCCCCACCCACAAAGGAATTTGGAATTTCCGATTGGTGGGGGGGGGGGKGGGGCAGAGAAAGAACAAAATTACAAAGTTCGTATGGAATAAAATTGGAATTTCTAGGGTAGGGTAGTCTTTAAGAAAATTCCTCAGTGGGGGCAGGGTATGGATAATTGTATATAATGGTCTGAACCCAGGTGAATGAATGTTAATCGAGGTATTATGATCATCCGGGTGGATGTAGTATGGATAATTATTAGAACTACACAATTCTCACATTTTCGGTTTGTCTCTTCCAATGTCTTCAGTGATATAAATAATATAAAAGCCTTCTCAAATTAAGGTTTTGGACTTGAAATAGTGTCTCACAAAGTCTCCCATTGGTCATTCATCACCCTACTATGAATTTATTATGTGCCATGAGTTTAAAAAGTGATAAGAGAGCTACTCTGCAATTGTGATGGTTTTTTTTTATGCAGTCAACGCCAAAAGATGATGAGGGTGACACTACAGGAGCAACACCTGGGATTGTCTTTGAAGGGAATGCTAGACCTTCGACAGTTGCAGACGAATACAAAGATATACAGGTTACTTTACACAGGGGAAAAAACGGATTCCCAAATTGGGAATTTGTTGGGAATTTCTTTGAATTCCCAAGGAATTCCCATCCAATTCCCAGAGAGAACGAAATTGGAAACGTGGCACTGATTCCCAATGTTAGTCTGTTGGGAATTTTGTTTTTCTATTGGGTATTAGAAGGAAATTCCCAACCATTCCCAATTTGGGAATCTGGGTTTTTTCCCCCTGTCTTACACACTTCATATCATGTTTCTACCACTCCATAAATAGACCACTAGTAGCTAAATCGATCAGAGGACACAATTTCCAATAGTCCTTTAGTTTATAGTTCATCTATACTAAAATCCAATTAATCCCAATTGATCCACTTAGGCATGGTAGTGTTCCATAATAAAACATATATCATTCTCTTTGGAGAAAGATGTTTTTTAGAGTATCATCCTGCATATTAAACAAAGACATAACTAACAAGGGAATGACACAAAATGTGAAATGGAAAACTATGGAATGAGTCCTTTATATTACTCTAATAGTTGAAAAACTTACCCAAATGTTTTAATCTGATTGAATTAAGTTTGAGACATAGCATTCTTTTCTTTTTAGAACAATACTTCAGGCATAACAGCAGACAAGGATGTAAGAAAGAAGTCTCAATTAACTAATCAAGGTAACATCAAGTTAATTGAAGCTGTTAAAAGCAGCAGTATGGCCATAATCAAGACTCAAGTATGGACTAACTTACTTCTTCATGTTTGAAGAATACCAGGATGTTAGTCCATTCTTAGAAGCAATTCTATGCTGCATAGCTTCCCACTCTAGTGCTACTCTATTAATATTGATTTTTAAGAATTTTTTAAGAATATTAAACAACAAAGGCTATTTACAGCCCAAAGATTACAATACAAAGGCTTTACATTTGTGTCGGCTTGAGGTTTGTTATCTCAGAAGCTTGTCATGAAATAAAAAATAAACAGTACCAGGGGTACAATTTTTTTTTTAAATTTCATTTTTTTTTTCGTTGTTATTTATTTAATATATTCTTTATACCTTTTTCATTTCAGGTCATCCCAGTGGGTCACAACCAAGGTTACCTCAGGATGATTCATCAGCCAAGAGGCTACAGACACCAGGAGGGTCAGAGGAACAGACAATACCTTTCTCTAGCTGGGGGGCACAGGATTCTAGATTTTCATCATCAATGGCTGGTGTATATAATCCATTTGATAATGAAGGTAATATTCAGTTGTAACTGGTGTTGGAAAACCATAGTTCCATTTTTTTCATCTATCTATTCATTCATTCGTTTATTTATTCATTCATTTATTCAATTCATATTTTTCATTCATTCATTCAATTCATTTTTTTCATTCGTTCATTTGACTCATGTTTTTCATTCATCCATTCATTCATCAATTCATTTATTTGATTTATGTCTTTCATTTAATAGTATTTATTCATTCATGTATTCAATTCATATTTTTCATTCATTCATTCAATTCATATTTTTCATTCATTCATTCATTTGATATGTTTTTCATTTATTTATTCATTCAGTTATTCATATTTGACCTTCACCATTTCCTTCTGATCTGTACTTGGTTCCCATTTAAGCGTCAATTTTTAATCTCCCTCCCTTTTTCCCATTCTTCTCTTTCCTCCTCCTCCTTTGTCCCATTCCACATTCTATCCCATTCATCCTTCCCTTTTCTTGTTTTTCTCTCTGATATTCGTAATAACTTCATAATCACTCATAATTGGTTGATGTAAGAAGATAAAATAATTTTACTTTACCCTTCAGCTTCAACTTTCCTTGGAGAAAATACTGACTGGAAAGAGGAACAGGACATTAATTTCTCTGCTGCAGGTACATATCTATACTACACCTCAGTATTATCAGAAAATAAAGTATAAATCAGGGGAATGAAGGGTTTTACATATTTTTTTTTTCTTTTCAAATAGCCACCCAATCCAACCCCCTTGATCTGCTTTTGGATGTGTCTCAATAACTGGGTAACATTTGGACACCTCCACACCTCTAGTATTTTCRATTACTCCAATAAATACTCTGAATGTTTAGATGGACTCTGTGTGAGCCAAACTATTTACATGACTCTTTAAACTATTGGACTATGGTAATCACTAGACCTTCTCGCGTATATATTTATACACTCCACTAGTAAACTTCACTTGATAATGACATCTGACAATGTCAAAACATTAAATAAATCTGTTAAATATATTTGAAATATTGCTAATAATAGTTTCCATGTGTTACTCTTAGGGGATCCAGAAGCCATTCTTGCAGCAGATGAGAAAAGCTTTAAAAGAGAACATCAGTTTGATGCTCCAGTATGTACTCTAAATTACTAAATAGTTTGCATCCTTTTACCGAAAACATTAGATACATTTTTCACTGCATATTATGGAACCTTAGTTTAAACATGGTGCCCCGTTCAGCTAAGAGCTGTTATCCAGAGGGGCCCATTGAATGCTTTAGAATCTCCCTTGCCCAACCATGACAGTGAGAGGAAAAGTAATATTAGTCTTTTAATGATATTACTATGACCTTATAAGATTAATGTCTTTCCTCGTACAGGTCCACCTGTCACCAGCCGATGTAACCGCCAACCATGACTGGACCATTCCTGATGAAAGCGCTTTCATGGCAAGGTCTTCTTTAGCCAAAATTGTGGCAGTAAATGATCCCGATGATAAAGGAGAAGTGCGCATCTCACTTGGTGCATTCATAGCAGCTGGATCAGCCGAGCTGGGATCACTTGAGATGTCAAACCCAGATAGACCAAGGGTGAGGATTGATGTGAAACAAGTCAACAGTTTTTTCTTATCTGGACCGACTTTTTCCCATGATTGCATAAAATATCAAGACTTTGGCTGTTTTATCTTCCTCAGCCCATGGTTTTGGCACAGCACAGCATAAGTCTTAATCAATAATTCTTTATTGACAACTTTTAGCAGTACATACTGATAATTTGCTAATAATATGTCATTTTATAATTTCAGCCTCATTTTGGGGATGGACATATCATAAACACACCTTCTCCACAACCCCCTCCAAGGCTCATCACCAGAGACTTTGCAGAACAACATCACTTTGAGGACCCTGAAAAACTCAATGAATATTCCGTATTTCAAGCCACTCCAAACAAGCAAACCAATATTCCAGACCCTAAGTATGGAGAATCGGAAATTTCCACTGTGAAGAAGGCACCAAAGAGTTTCAAGAATAGACAAGGATCGACTGGGTCAGAGAATGCATTTGAAATAAAGAAGACAAATCTTGATAAGCAATATAATGAACTTAGACACAAGTCTGCAAAGGAGCGGCGCGGCAGCCAGGGCAGTACACAAAGCTCTCACAGCTCTAGCAGTAAAAGTAGTGTTCAGAGTGTTGTTCTTAAGAAAGAAAAAAGCAGAAAGCAAAGGACAGTGAGTGAAGGGAGTGCTGAAGACTCTAAACAACGGCACCAAAGAAGACAACGAGAGCCTGATGGCTGTCCTGATAAGGAAAGCACAGGAGGTGCGATGAAATCCATGCAACCACGCAGTAAAAGTACTAAAGATACATTAAAAAGTAAAGAATCACAAGATGATACTTCATCTGCCATTAGACATAACGCATCTTCAAGTAAACCAGGACACAGGACATCGGCGTCTAGGAAAGTGGTTGATGGACAAGACATTGGTGTCAGTTCCAAAGGTGGAGTCTCCATGGAACCACCACCACATGGTAAGATTTGAAAGTTGTAAGATAACTTAGGAGAGCCAGCCAGTCTTGTATTGCTAATACTAATAATAATGATGATGATTATCTCTTCTTTGATAGGCTCTACAAGCTCATATCCAAGACAAACAGTGAACAAACAACAACAAAAAGCAAAGGAACAAATGACCTCTAGTACGAGTGATATGAGTGAGGTCAGCGCCAAGAACACAGGGTCCAGTATGTCAAGCATCCTGACGTCAGGAAGCTTTGGTTCTCTAAATCAACAAGAACTGGCAGACTTTATTGCTAAAGCTATTAACATACCACCTGAACATATTGAACAGTTATTGAATGCTGCTTCAGAAGCCAAAAGTAAAAGCCATCACAGCACAGCTAAAGACTCTCACCAAGTGTTGCCTGAAAAAGACATGGATGGCACCACACATGATCAATCAAGTTCTCCTAAGGAATTGGAATCAATTAACCAAAGTCCAGAACTCAAATCAATCAAGCCCATTGCATCAAGTAGTCCTCACGATGTGGTGTTATCACCTAGTATTACATCACAAAGTATGACAAATCACCTTGCATCACCTGCTAATATACAGTGCAGTACCTTGTTAGACTCCATGACGTCTCCTCCCCAAGACGGGGTATCTAGTTATTCTATCAACTCTAGTGTTTTTGTTCATGACAGCCCTGGTAATGTTTCAGTCATTGAAAACAGCACCATGATGGAATCACCTGCAAAAGATACCCCACTCTCTCCACCCCCAGATCCATTCAGTGGCAATCAGATTGATCCATACTTTGGAAAAACATATACCATAAAAGATAAGAATGGGACAAGTGCTCATGCAGTAGACCCTCTCAAAAACAGGGCAAACAATATTGAAAAGAGACTTGATAAATCTTTGTCTCCGGACAAGGATGCGACAAGAAGATCATCAGCTGATTTTCAACCTGTTGCTTCAATGACAACATCCTCTGTAGGCACAGAAGATTTGACCTTGATAGAGTCTCCAGAGAAATACAGCCCTAACAAATTAGAGAGATCATTTGACAGTGCTGTGTATTCCAAGTCTCCCTATACAGAGAGTAAAAGTAGGCACTCATGGCCAAAAACAGGGGTAGATTCACCTTACGAAAAAGCTGAGGTGGTGAGAAGTGGCTATCCAGTTGCTGCTTCTTCATATTCACCTGTTCTATCCATGACTAGTGAATCTGGAAACTACATGAGACCTGTTACAATAGGAGTACCACCACCTCTTCGTGTAGTATCACCTTTAGCAATACCATCATCACAGTTTCCAGGACAGACTGGAAACTTAGGGTATCCTGGTCCTCAAGGATTTGGGTTTCAACCTGGAGGATATGTGCCAAATATTAATGGTCCTTTGAGTGGAACATTTCCTATGCATTATCCAGCATTTCCACTCCCTAATCAAGCAGTTCAAAGACAGTACCCTAGTGGTATTTACCCACCTGATGGGTACTCTGTTCCTGGCTTTATGGGACCAGGTGCAATTTCAGTTGGACATCAAACTCACCAAGTTCCTCCTTATAGTATTTATAGCAACAACCAGCAGGCATTGCATCTTAATACTGTATCAGCTGGCATTGCTCCAAGACTTGCAACGAATACGCAGACATTCTCTTGGCAGGCACAAGGTGCTGTCCCTCATACAACAGAGCAGGGGCAGCAGCATTTACAGACTGCTCCTGCAGGACTTCTGCAGCTTGGCCAGCCACTAACATCTCAAGGAATGACATTGGGCTCTGATTCCCAGCCAACCAATACACAAAACAGAACTACAAACTCTCTTACTCCTATAGTGGTCCCAGGAGAGGTTAAATTACCTCCTGTATGTCCTGTTGGTATTCAAACGCGCAGCTTATTGACCCTGCATAATTCCAGTAGTAAATGGATCTACTGTATGGTCAAGGTTGCTTACTGTACTGTGAATGGTGCTCAGGTCACCAACTCTGTAGATAACCCATTCTTTGTGCCTTCAAGACTCATTATTAATCCTCATACAACAATTCCAATTGAGGTAAGAGAGCCTTAAATCAATTTCCAACTTAAATGATAAATAAATAATATTGATAATAATATTTGCAGGTCATAGAAAGTTATTGATATATCCAATGATGTTATTAAAAGCAATTTCCCATTTTCAGGTTATATTCAAGCCTCGTCTAACAGGGCTACACTCAGCACAATTACATGTCACCTCTTCTCCTGTGGCTTCTGATGGTCAGCAGAGTGCTGAGACTTTACCAAGTCTTGTTGCTCTTGAGGCAGTGGCCGAGCAGCCTGATATTGAGGTATTGATCCTCGTCGATGTTATGACAGGAATGTGACAAAGAAAATCAATACTGATTTGACACAGATCTATGTCTAATGTACTAGCTAATTGATTTGTTGGCAATTGATTTAGAAAAATAATGGAAGAAAAAATGAGGATTCCTAATAATTGCTATGTATTTGGTAGGTTTTGTCAGAGGACAGCCAGGTTGTGGATTTTGGTGAGATGGTTGCTAACAGTAAGCACTCCAGACCACTTCGACTCATCAACAAAGGGAAGGCAGCTATTCCCATAAGACTAACTATAACACCAGTAAGTACTCACAAGACAACTTTCTTGACTTGTCAGCAGGGTAAGAGGCAGATGCAAGAGTCAGTATAATATCATTATAACCATACAATAATAGTAAGCTGTGTGATGATTGTTACCCTAAAAAAACCCAGGGGGGGGGAGGCTAGAAAGTCACTTTACAACTTGTGAATGCACATCCCTCATTAATAGTTATTGTGTTGTATTATATTATTATCACGCTGGTTGTTCTGGGTAGGTAATAAATGTTGTCATTAATCATTTCTCAACAGAATGCCACTTCCCTTCATTGTTTCTCATTTGTTAATGCTGATTCATCACCCAAGAAAAGCTCCTCTTCTACTCCACCTTCTAAAGTTGCTGTCAACAAAGGCRTTTTGTCTATCCATAAAGTTGTTTTGAGTGGCACACAAACAGTGGTTGGTATAAAAACTTCAACTTAGAACATAGTTGTTTTTTCCTGAATATTGACAGCTGGTAGGGTACTTGGGACAACAGGAGCAAGGGTATAGGCCTATTGTTAGGGATGGCTATTGACTTATAATTTGTTTATCTTTTGTTGAAAAAAGTGTCATGTAAACTTGATTCCAAATTAATTGTTTTATCGTTGTCAATTCACAGAATAGTTCATTAGATCCTCATGTCATTTGGATTCTCTTTCAAGCACCTCAGAAAACAGATCCAGGTATGGAAATAACAGTTTACCTGAGTTTCCTGTAATATACAAAAATAAAATACTACTAACACTGCCATCTTAATACCAGTTAACCTTTTTACAGTCATGGGAGGTACAATTAAAGGGTACTTAACAATATCATGTCACATGACTCCTTTGCCGACTAGGACAACCTTTTGTATGAGTCATATAAGTCTAGAACTATTCTTTATATTCCATATAATATTGCAACATTGCCTTTGTTTTAGGTTTTGGATCTCTCGGTCTTCCAGATGAGTTCACTGCTAGAGTAGATATTGAAATGGACTGCGATGAAGGTTTGTAACAACTCAACACATTGTGACATTTACTTCAATACGTACAAAAACACTCCTGCCCAAATCATATAAAGAACCTGAAATGTTCAAAGTTATTTTACTATATATGCATTTGTCATTCCTTTGTCGGATTTTTGTGTCCTTGAAAAGGAAAACCTTTGATCACAAATTCAATATTTCTATACTGACTTGATAACTAACCTTGCTTCTTGTACCTAAAGGTCCTATAATTGGAAGTGTTCTTGTCAAGGCCACTGTTGGTGTAGCAAGACTTCATACTCCCAAAAGTTTACAGGTTAGCAACAGATAAATCACAGTTGATAAAAATGTTTCTTGACCAGTGTTTTGGACCATGTGGATGTACTAGAAATGTGTGGCAACCAATTGAAAGACATGACTTTGTATAGCTAACAAATGTAACTTGGCTGTGGCACTTGCATTACTTAGGAATGACCAAAACTCATTTGTCAATGGTAAATGTTAATGAAAGCCAATCATTAGTTAGCTGCATTTGCAAGATATCATCAGCATGGCAACAACCTTTGCTGTTAGGAATTGTTGCAACTGTCTTTAGTGTTCACCATCTTTTATGCAACTTCCACTCCTACCTCACACTTGCTATTCTATTTTCCAGGCTCTGACATTGTCAGGTGTAGTTGGACAGAGGATTAGTAGGGGCTTCCCTGTGAGAAATGCTGGCAACATCAGCCTGCAAGTAGACCTTAAGATCCTTAAAGATGTTGAATATTTTACTGTGACTCCAAGCAGAACAGTACTCAGACCTCAGCAGGTAAGAAAAGCAGAGCAACTATACCTTAGGTTAAAAAGAAAGATTAACCTAACCTACCCACAACTCACTGGCATCATACTGACAACATACCCATAACCTACTAACAACCCACCATAACCTACCCACAACTCACTGACATTATACTGACAACATACCCATAACCTACTAACAACCCACCATAACCTACCCACAACTCACTGGCATCATACTGGCAACATACCCATAACCTACTAACAACCCACCATAACCTACCCACTGATAACCTCCCAAAGTATTTCTGACAACCTATTGGCAACAGATAATTTTGTCTTTTTAAAAATTACTTAAATTCAATATTTACATCTTTTCATAATAATGTTCTTTAATTCTTACTGTATTCCAGGAAGTGGAAGTAACAGTACAGTTCAAACCAACCAAACCAGACTCAGTGATAGACAGGTAACAAACAATATGTCTAGCATTAGCGCTAATGCCTGAGTTTTCCATTTCAGTTTGTCCCACTCTTTTTGGTGGTTTGAAGGCATAGAAATACAATGCTTGCCATTCACCTGTGGATGGTGCTGATTCACTTACTGTGTTAAAGTACTAAATCTACACACAATCCAAATAACTTTGTCAATCAAAAAATGTCATGGCCAAACCATCAAAAATTTATGAAGTGATTCCATGTTTAGAGTTGACTGGGACACAGAAACAAGGGAAGCACTAAACCAAAGATAATCTGTTTAATTTGCTCCTCAGTCTTCTTGATTTGTTTTCAGTACTCTTGTGATGAGTGTGCTTCCTGATGGTCCAGAGTATGATGTACTGCTCAGAGGAATGGCGACATCTGAAAAGAAGACTCTATCAAAACAGGAAAGGTACTGAGACTAAATATTGTGTGGACCCATTGGACAGTTCTCCATCACATACCATCCAAATTGGCTTTGATATACCTTAGTTTCATACTTGTATTTCTGAATGATACTTTGTGGCTATCTTTAAGTCATTGCACTGTAACATGCAAATTTGTAAAAAATAATTGGCAATAGGTATTCTTGCTGATGAATGTTCCTAATATTGTTCTTATTGCTTTTCAAGCCCTGTTCTGCTGTGTAACAAACCTGTTGTATGTTGGGGTGGAGTTGCCATTGGGAAAGCAGTGTAAGTAACAGACCCTGGTTTTGCATACTTGGACACAAGCACCATCACGTGATGGCAGCCATGACAGGAAGCACAACTTTCTTTTCAACACTTCTTTTTCCCCTAGGAAAGTGAATTCTTTCTCATGTATATCAGATTAGACCCAACTCATTTGTTCCTGCCTCCTGTCATGGCTGCCATCACATGATGGTGCAAAATCTCTATTAAAGATTTTTTTAATGGTTTTTAGTTTTGGCCAATAATTTGTTTTGTGGAAAAGGAAAAGAAAGAAAGAAAGAAAGAAAGAAAGATCGTGCATAACATTCTTTATTTTTTCAGTCAACAAAAAGTAGTACTAAAACACAATGGACAGATGCCATCCAAGAAACTAAAACTGCAACTTTCAATACAGGCACAACACCCAGACTTTCAGGTATGTATCATAGCTAAATGTGCAGAACGATGTTTCCTGGGTTGAACCAGCAGCACGGTTCCACTACTGGGTTACACGGATAAGGTGAAAATTCTCTTCTCTTTATGTTTGGAAAATTTCAAGGTTTAGCTGGCTCAGGGCTTAAAATAAGTCCAGACAAATTGGTTTTAGCTCAGCCATGCCCCGTGTTTGGCTCAACATTACTGGTGAAAATGACTGGCAAGACAAAGATTTGATCAGACAAGTTCCATCTTGCAGGACATTGTCTGATGACCATCCATTATTTTAAGACCTGGCTGCTCAATGTATGATTATATGTATTTGACTCCTGGTTTGATGATTAAATAACTTTATTTTTGTTGCAGTCATCTAAGAAAAGTATTATTCAAATTTTCAGCTTCAGAATACATTTGGTAAAGTAGATGAGAAATCTCTGGCATCTATTGTTGGTTTAGCACCTCAGGTATGTTAACCTTCTTTCAACCTGGTTTAAAGTCTAGTTACCCCTTTCAAATTTATTGATTTAGGGTTAGGGTTAGTTGGTTTAATTGAATTTAAAATACTCATTTCAGTGCTTGTATCATATTTGCAGGAAGAGCTACCAGTTCACATCTTATTTGCTCCCTCAACTCTTGGTTTAATATCCAGTGCTCTTGTAATCAGAACCCTCTCTGGAGGAACCAAATCCAAGGTAAGGCTGCTTAACAATGGACTGCTCTGCTTTGCAATACTCTGTTCTCCTTTGTTCTGCTCTGCTTAATTGACCATGCTGTTCTTTTAAGAAGGTTAAAAAGGTTTTTTGGTTTATGTTTTTGCATATTAACCTGTTTCAATTTAATTAAGGAATATCAACTATAATGTGGTCAACTAATTTGATTGGAGTTAGTCTGTGTCAGTGCTCTTCATAGCCTTGATACCACAATATATACATACCACCATATTTTTGATGTTTTTCCATAACCTGTTTCAATTTAATTAAGGAATATCAACTAAAACATGCTATTTTGTTTATCAATTCTGCCTTTGGACAACTAATGTGATTGGAGTTTTAATAATAGTGAGTGCTCTTTGATGAGAGCATTACTGGAGGTATAACTTGCTCATAATTTAAAATTAACAAGAATGGACAACTGTCTAAGATAATTATATGTAGTATCTCAGAGTTCTAAACATGTTATTATTGTTGTTGAAGGTACCATTGTATGGTTGTGGAGGATCAAGTGAACTAGTGATTGTTGACACCAGAAAACTGAGTGAAGGATACATAGCCAACTTAGGAGAGGTAATAATGAACAATGTGCACTGTATGGTAACTGGTTATTAACTCTGTTTGTCAGCCGCTATCTTACCGCTACCTTATCAGCTTCTAACTGTTACCTTACTGACCCGAGACAAACACTCTAAGATGGGTGTTTCATTTGAAATTTGGCAGTAAATCATCATTACTTTTCTTTGCCATTAATAAGCAATGTTTGTGTTCATTTTATGTGGAGAGTATTGAGGATGTCACTGTCAGAGTCCCTATAGGACCTTATCCTGTGATGATTTTACTTTACTCAGGTGTCCCTTGGTAAGAAAAATGTCATCAAGCTAACAGTCAAGAACACCGGAACAAGACCTGCCTTTGTTAAAGCTGTCTGCTACTCAGGTCAGTGAAGACTTAGTTGTCTCATCTTGGGCCTAATTATCCCTAATATAAAGGGTGTGGCATGCATGGGTGGGTACAAGCAGAGAGGAGGAAGGGTAATGGAAGAGGGATAAGGGAAGGTAATGAGCATCTATAGATGGATAAAAATTTCATAGCCATTGCTGTCAATATTTTAAAGTTCAATCTCACTTGTATTAAAAGTAGTGGAAAAATGTGATGGATGCTGTAATGTATTGAAGATAGAGTTTTCATAAGGGATGGCTTGACATCATGTTTCCAGTTGTAGTTTGGAAGTTATGGGTACCTAGACTTGTATTTAGTGTACAGTAATGATACTTAGCTGCAACTGTATTTGTCTTTGTTCACAGATGTTGCATCTCAGACCATTTATCCTGCTACCCATCTGAATATTGCACCAAATAATTTCATATTACCAGAAAGAACATCCAAAGTAAGTCCTAGAGATAGAGAGCTGCAGTTCTAGATGTAAAATTATGAATACCCACAGTACTTCAGGCTGTCTGGTCTTAACATCCTACTAATTCTTCGGACATCTATCAATCAAAAACCTAGTAATACCATTCCTTGTCTTTAGATATCTACAATGCAGAAATATGCGTAGCGCTAATACAGTAAATGTTTTGACGTGTTTGTTTCCCCACAGCAAGTAGTTGTGGTTTACCAACCCCTTGAGAATGATGCCATCAAATGTAAAACTGAGATGAGCACTGTAGCAACCTTAGCATTCTATACAGGAGATGAAGGAATTAGACAGCAGTATAAGAGGTTAGGAACTTCACAAAATTAATCAATGTCTTAGAAATTTCATGCCTTGGAGTTGATAGCTGCCATAGATCATGGTCAGAATGATTCCATTATTTCAGAGCATGTGTCATCCCTGGGCAATGAGGTTTTTCATTTGTGTCTATATTCACTTAATCATAATGTTGTTGTTTTAGATATGTTCAGAGGAATGACCTCCCACATGCATCAGCTAAATGTAGTGGTCCTTTAATGAACATCAACTTCCTCACAGCCTTCCAAGATGAAGACAAAATCATTGAAGGTGAACCAGGCTTTGTTTCATTAAAAGTATTCATCACCATGACTAACAACCACCCAGCCAGTCAACAGTAACATGTCAGCTGGTCATAAAGTACGTGATAACCCAGCCAGCCTATATAATAACTATTAATCTGTCACTACCTTTTTTGTACTACAGATATGGTTTACCCCCAAGTTCCACAGTGGACCCAGTTCTTCCAGAGCTGTGTGTCAAGGGTCCTGTTAATGCTAGTAGGGTCACCACCATCAGGTCCTGACAAGGCTAAAGCCAACAGGTCCCTAGATTTGGTGCCAATGCAAGGCCCTTCTGAAAATGGACCTTCCGTATTGAGCAAGGAAATGGCCTCAGCACCAACACCTCAAGGTAGGATATACAACTAAAGAGTGAAAAAAGAGATGTTTTTTTCTCAAAATAAGTTGTACAGTGTACATTTTTTGTGTATGTTTATGTTGTAGTACATGAATGGGTCATCATGAATTTTGCTTTATTTTTTGTTTGGTCATGAGCTTTATTCTCATGAGCATGTATCCTCCATATATTCACAGTTGAAGATGCTAAAACCTCTGAAGCCTGGACTGTACTTCCTGAACACCTAGTTCTAACAGCCTACAAGACATGTAAGCATATTACATTTCTTTAGCAGTGTCCTTCTTTGATTCTAGTTGTTATGATTTGTATGGAGTTTAGGTACAGTGGATGGCACTGGTCTAAGCTGCCAGTGCATCAAATTGGAACATGTATTAAACGAGGATATTCACAGTGGTGCTGCTCTCCTCTTGACTTTATTATATTATTAAATCAATGATACAGTGGTTATTTTATACCAATTTCAACTTGGTGTTCAATTCATTATAACTTGGTCCTTAGATCTTTAATATCTTTGTATTCTATTGTTAATAGTAGGTGAGAAAGGCACTGGAAGGTTGCAGATTATTAATTTCTCTGAACGACCTTTAACGTAAGTGAATATTGTTTAGCACAGAGTAGGCCATTCTAGCACCTGAACATCACTGACAGTAATCACAGGCTGCCACCAGCCTTAATAGATCACCTGGACCACAGTTGATTAGTGCTCTCTTGCTAGAATGACTTACCCTTTATTTAGTGCAAACTGTAGGATAAACCTGTGATGGACTGGTATTTCATTGCTCACTATAATCATTATACTATCATTTTTCATAGGTTTGAGTTTATCTGGCCTGCTCACTGTCTTACCATCACGCCTGATCGTGGACAGATTCCATCAAGGTAGGTATTAAAAAACCTTGGATTGAACTATCTTGCACCCTTTTTCATAGTCAGCTTTTCAACTTAAATGTTAGTAGTGAATTTTGCCATGCTACCAATTAACAACTAATATCATAATCCAGGAGTCAAGTTATGGTTGTGATGAGTCCAAGACCCACCCTACCCTCCTCAGGAATACAACTGCCCTGGGGTGGCACAGTCTACATACAATGTGATGGAACTCAAAAAGCTATCCGTGTCCAAATCAGAGAAGAAGTTGTACTTGAAAACTCCCCTTATCAGCCTGGAGCACTTACTCTCCAGGCTCTGGAGACTAAAGAAGGATTCACACCCTTTACCCCTGCCTTGCCGACCAGCCACCTTCCACCCTTGGTGGTCAGAACAAAGCAAGTAGAGTTTGAAGAGACTGTAGCTGGAAAAGAGTCTGGTAAGCTTTGTGACAAAATTAGATATGGAAGAACACTAAAACTTCAGGGTCATGTGTGTCATGACTACACAAAACAGATAACTAGCTAATAATTACTGTAAGCTGCGTCAGTGTAATTTTATGCACAGGTAAATTGTACACCGTGAAAAGATGAAAAAACTTACTGACATTTCGAACACTACTAGTCCTTCGTCAGAGTTAAAGAGGGACACGTCTAGTAATTTCACATGTCTCATAATTCATTATTGATTGTTACACCACAGCCATGTCATGAAATACCTTTAGATTATAAAGGATGTTTGTAACAAAATCTCCATATTAACATATTTCATGACCATTTTAGTGGCAGAATTAGTCATAGAAAATGTTGGCAATGCAAATGTGATGTGGGACTTGTCTTCAGTAGCACCTGCATATGTCAAGGTAAGCTGCTAGTAACATGTAGTTATTCGATTGTCAAAATTTGCTTTTACTTATCTTTGAGTCTTGTTCTTTTTCCCTAAAATTATTTTATGCCTTTATAATTGACATTTCTCATAACCTATGGGTTAGATAGCTCACTTGGCTGCTTCTTGTGGGCTATTGACCCATGGCCCAATCAGGTATAATCAAGTAGTAGAAACCTTTTACAAATGCCTGGTTGTGACTCACTATTGTCCAATAATACTTTAATAATTTAGTTTAAATAAATGTCCCACTCTTTCTCTGTAGGCAACTGATAATACAGGAGACATCTACAGAACAACATACACAGCATTCAGCTTTCATAAACGATCAGGTGTTGCAGCAGGCATGGCTGTCATGAAGGTTTGTATTCACTTAAATAGTCAGGATTTATTGGGAATAGAAATGGGGGGCTTTTGTGTGATCATACATTTTTACATGGGGGAATCAAGAGAGGTGTAGTGGGTGGTGGTGCACTTGCCTTTAAATCAGGGTGCTGGGTTTGATTCTCTGAAGTGATATCCCACATGGTGTATAAGAGATTGTTGGGTCTCTCCCTTAATCCTTAGGTTTTTCTTGGGATTCCCTCTGTCATTCCTAACATGCTGACTTCCATTCGATATGACTGAAATGAGATAGTTTCAAAGTTTGACAAAGAAACTTTCTTTCATTTAATTCCATCAAAACACTAAAATAAAATTTAGGGAGTGGAAGCTGCACAATATTGTTTCTTCGTTTTTATCAAATTTAGTTATAATTTAGTTTACATCGTACAGTCAACTCTGGTTACAGCGGAAACCCTCAGGACCATCACTTTGTGTCCATAATAGCAAGCATCTGCAATGGCAAAGATTATTTATGGTCATTTCTTTGTCAAGAATTTTTGTCAGGATTTTTCTCCTGTCCATAATTTCTCCACCACGTAATATCAGGGTGTCCGCAAGGCAAGAGTTGACTGTATTCATGCTGTGGAAGATTACAAGCACCCCTAACATTTTCAGGTCTGAGAAATTCCTATTATTTTCCACATTTTCAGATTCCTATAAAGTTCCAGCCAAGAGACCCTGGTCAATACTCACAGTTTTGGGATCTACAGGTACTTGTTATGGTCCTGGAGTAGTGTTTAAGTGCTTAAATATTTTATAATATTCTTTATAATATGATTTTTTTTAAAATATATTTTGATATTTTTGTGGTCATCATTATCCTCCTTAGTTTAAGGAAGAAGGGTTGAGGCGTGTACACAAGCAGAGAATAGAAATTACAGCAAAGGTATTACTGTCTAAAAATATTTTATGCAAGAGTCCTTCCTGAGGCATGTGACTGGTGGTGGGGGGGGGGGGGACATTTATTAGTGTTGCTAATTTTTTAAAGAAAATCTGTTTTATTTGGATGATGATGATATCCATGCTTGATCTGAACAACTGGATATAATTATGTTTATATTATTGCCCTTCAAAAGGCCCACATTTTACATTTTGCAATGGCAATACTGGTAATTTATATGACTGTTCATATTGTTTTATCACTAATGTCCTAAATGATAAAGGTTCAATTTTCCTATTTTGTTATTATTTTCAAGGCAATTACAAAAACGTTCAGCACAGAACCAAATACCATTAGACAAGAGGAGCAACCAACTTCAAAGAGGTTGTCCAAAGAACCTCAGACACATACAAACCCTAAACAGCCAACTGCTACTGGTACAAACCCTGTGGGGATGGCTAATAAGATGACAACATCAACTCCACAAAATACTGCACCCAGAACACAAAGCAGGTACATACTTAACAAATGTCTTAGATATTGTGTAGATAGGGATATTTTGGGGATCTTTCCTGTGATTCAATGTTTTCTCAGGCTGTGGGGTTTTCGGCAGCTCACAGAAATCAGGTTTCATTCTTTTTAAATGGGGGATTTATTAACATATGGCATGTATAAGGCCTGCCCATACGTCATTCTGTTGCCCATTCTCTTCCTTCATCTATCCATGTGATCTTCATGCACCCTTCCGTCCATCATGCATTCATCCATCTACTATATGTATCATACATACATACATCCTTCGATGAGTTTATCATGCATCCATTCATCCGTCCATCCACCATTCATTCATTCACTCATTCATCATCATTTCATTCATCCGTGTGATCATCATGCACCCTTCTGTCCGTCATGCATGCATTCATCCATCCACTACATGTATCATACATACATACATCCTTCAATGAGTTTATCATGCATCCATTCATTCACTCATCCATCCATCTAGTAGCTTCCCTTTATATGTTAACAAGCTCCAAAGGACATATATTTATATCTGTTTCATTAATCTATAAATTCCATTTACTTCAGACCAAGCATCAAGCGCAGTGGTAAACCCAAAGGAGTGTATATCACTGAATCAGAGGTACATTTCCCAGATATAGCAGCAGGAGAAAGCAACGAGGTCAAAGTTAAAGTCTGCAATGACTCCACTGAACCCAGTATGGTAAGTTATGGACAGAGGAGATAGAAACTATTGGTCAATATTTTCCAATTTTCCTATTCGTACAAAAATGATAAAAGGATAAATTTTACACCGTGAAAAGATGAAAAAACCTACTGATGTTTCAGAGGCTAGTCCTTCATCTGAGTAAAAGAAAGGTCCAAAAGAGAGTTTTAGGAAATCAAGGGTGGTACATTGGTAGTGCAGTGATCTCTCAGGTTTGATTCATTCACAGGTAGCCCAAGCTTGGTTTCTGTGGTGTCCTGCTATAAGGAAATGTATGGAGATTCATCAAAAATTTCAATAAAATCATTGAAACGTGAAATAAAGACTCGAAATTTTACCCGATCATTGAGAAATAGCACTTCTTTTGCTCTGCGTGGTTATTTTTTGAATTTAGAAAAAAATCTTAAAACGGGCTAAATTCAAAAAATGCTCTTTTCATCCATTTTCTTTCTATTTCTAATTTTTCAAAAACAGGTAAAAATCGTGGGCCCAAAGGAGCCTTTTTCAATAAGCAATGTTAGAGTGACAGTAAGACCACAGCGGTTTGTTCGCCTACCAATCAAGTTCAGCCCACAAACACCTGGTACTAGTTATGAATCTGTCATGATATTTACTGCTGCTTCTGGTACCACACAACAAGTTAAGGTCATGGGAAGAAGTAAAGACCTAACATGAGAGATGAATAGTCATAGGATATATCACAGGAATATAATGAAATATGCCAAGCACTGGTACTAAAATCACTGTACTCTGAAAGCAAGGAAAGCTTAGGCAGTAAAGACGTTGATGTACCTCTTTAATTGCTCTGCAAATGCAAGACATACCATAAAACATATGATGACTTGCAGGAATAAAAGCTCAATGGTTATGAGGTGTGAAACACACTGTCTACACAATGACATATAAAGGTCAGTGATCCAGAAGAATGTTCTCAGTAGTGAGACTTTTTTGGATAAATGTAGCCGAACATATTGATTGCAGATGTGAGACTGCTTAAATGGCATGGATTGCCTTGTTCAGACTAACTGTGCAGCATGATGAATACAAGGAATGATAATCAAAGTAGCTGGAGGGTTACAGGTTTTTTCAAATCATGCTGTACGTGTATTTGGCTACAGAAACAAGAGAAATTTTTATACCAAGTGCTTGAGGGCCACTGATGCTTCACTTATCTTTGGCAATTCTCGTGGAATGTTCTGGCTCGAAAGATATGTCAAAATTTGTTGCCCAGAGGATCATGGATGCATCTAATCTAATGTGAAACATGATGGCTACAGCCTCAAGACTAAATGAAATTAAAAGAAGAGTATATTTGCAAATATTACCATAATAATACAGAGTTTGGACTGAACTGCGTGATCAAAATCAAAAGATGTTGACTGTCCATGACACATTATAGAGGAACTACTAGCACCTGATATGAGCAACAGTAAGCCCTCAATGATATGCACTGGAATGCATAATTCAAGCCTGAAGATTTTGAATACCAGTGACATATAAATCTAGTATGGCGTTTTACACTAAAATTGCACAATCATGTCAAGTAAAAGTAAACCCAAGTTCTTAGTACCCAGGGGAAGATCCAGGAATATTTTCTACGGGGGGTGCACCATCCAGTATTTTTTTTTAGGAGGGGGTACACCCTTTGCTTACAAACACAAACACCAATAATGCAGTAGATATCAGCTCATCTAGGGGTGCACTCCCCCTGCACCCCTCCCCTAGATCCGCCTCTGATATCTACCCAAACGTGTCATGTTGACAACTTCATATGATACCCTTGTATCAGTAGTATGAAGATGTAGTCTGCATGTAATGACATACATTAAACCTGCTGTCAAAGATAGAGCTGTTGCATCATAAAAGCTTAGTAAAATATATACCCTTTTCTCTTTCAGATTTTGATAATTAACAACTCAAAATTGCAAGATGAATACTCCTTTTTACAGTTGCCTTAAGTGACCAAGAATGATAATTATCATGTTATCATGCCCTGCAACTCCAGCCTCGGCTTGGAATTATTATTCCTGGTCACTGATTGTTGTTAAGATTTTTGGTCCATTAAGACACTTGAGGAGTATTCTTCTTGCAACGGAACTGTAAAAAGGAAGCATTCCTAATAGACTTGTAACTATTTTCTTTGTAAATAATTTTAAAGCAGTAATTCTACTATTGCATGAAGAGTGAAATGTTTCCAATTCGACATGTTATGAAATATAGTAGCTTTATGAAAGTACACTTTATACTATCAAGATTTATATATTTAAACTATTTCACTGAAATACAAAGTATTAATAGGATGGCTATTATTATTGATTAATAATAATTATTATTATAATGGTCAAATTTAATGTAACGTATTGTCAAGTATGTCTGATACCTTCACAGATAAATTATTTGTATCACAATTTTTCTGTATTATAGATTAATATTTATTAGTTTTATTTGTGAATAAATAATTTAAATAATTGACAAAGGAGTACATTTTGTTTGAGTGGAATATTTGTATTATTTCTTTTGGTGTTTGCTCTCAAATCATTTAAATATACTATGTGTTTTATGCTGTTAGCACTTATTAATAAGTCGCATGCAATAGGATGAAGAATATCATTTCTCATAGAATCATAATAAATGATACTTCACATTATCTGTAAAGTTGATGCCTGTAAATCATGCCTTGTCCATAATAGTAGACTTATTACACACCACAGTCATAGCCCAGCCCAAACCCCCGCACCAGAGAACCATTTCACAGGCTACCATAGGTAGCTAGCCTGCCTCACATCCAGAATTTCCTTCGTAAATTACGAAGAAAATTCCGGATGTAACACAGACGATAGGTAGCAGCAGTGGTAGTGCTAGATTCAATTGATTTAAAAAAAGAAATGTATATTTGTCCCTTATTTCATATTGCAACACAAACTTAAATAATTTCATTTTTGCTCTTTTAGTACAATGAAATATTTTGTCTCAGTTCTACCTATTTAACATCTTGATAGTACTTGTACCTATTCTCCCCCATAGCTGTTCTTAGCGTCATCACCCAATGCTCCCTTCCCACCAACAGTTAGAAAGCTTAAGTTTCAAAGCACTAGTCAAAGCCGAGGCTGTGCACATCTGGATGCTTCTGTGGCTATTCTTATTCTTAGTCCCTTAACACAGKAACTCACAACAGATTATTTCAGTTCACACGTCAGGGTACCATAAAGCTTGTTGATTTTTACTACATTTATATGAAATTGAGTTTTATCAACAATTCATAGCCACAATGCAAAGCTCGTCTATGGCCAAAAGGCAGGTCACACTGTTTAGGGATTGAAGCTGACTCCTCGCAGGACCAATGCAGCTCAATTTAGAAGACAAACCAATGTCTTACTCATGAGGACTGAAATGCATTGTTTTTTCCTTTGATAGAGCAACTCTAAGAATAAATAGACCATACCACGGATTCTGTTAGTCAACCTCAGCCTAGTCAGTGTGTAATATATTCTTTAGAAATTGCCTACAACCTGTGAAATTTTTAAGTGTTTCAATTGTTCGTTGATGTGTAAATTCCTTTCATTACTGCGGACTGTAGTCAAATTCTAAAGAATAACTACACGCTGCGGAGGCTTGAGTAATGGAATCCATGAAATGGCCTATTGGTGTCTGTAAGGTTTTTTAAGATATCTTTGAATTAGTTGTCACGAGAGGTTATAAATTAGACTTGATTTTTAACAAACATAACCAAGAATTATAATAATTTTGCCAATAGGACACTATAGATTGAATAGTTCTCATTTAGCAATGATGACATGTTCTTTCCTTTCTTCCTTTTTTCCTTCCATTTATCCAAGATTCAAGGTCTTGCCTCTAAATATAGTAATGCCGTGATCGAGGCCCTGCTAAATTTGAACAAGTGACATGAGATTGACGAATGGCAGACTAAATCTATGAGAGTGAGGCCCTGTTGGGCAGAAATTCCTACAAGCAAATAAACGAGAATGTGCTGAAATTGCCACATAGGAAGTGACAAAATTCAGACATGAGTTTCCCCCTAATAGGGCCTTATGAACATGAGTACTCTAAAGGTGCTGACACGGTGCAACATTACATGCAACATTTCACGAAACCGGACTGTTGCAGAGTGTGTCTACCCCAAACTTGTTGCATGCAACAAATCTGAAGTTGAATCGCGCTCTACTCTTGCAACATTGCCCGCAACATTTTGAAATTTCCAGCTAATCAGCTTGCACCAAATTTATAATTTCTGACCATATATCTTAACATATCAGGCTGACACAAGCGATGTTGGGTGATTTTGTTGCAATGTGTGTCACCCCAATTCAAATTTGTTGCTTGCAATGTTGCACTGTGTGTCAGCACCTTAACTATACGGCATGAATGTCAAGTCTACAAAAAATATATAAATTGGATATCAATCAACCAATGCTCTCTGGAGGCCATTTCATTTGTCCTAAGAAAGAAGACCTGGGTTTAGAATATCTGCCATATTTCTCCAGGTTGCATTGCCGCTGGCTTGATCTCCACCCAATTTCCTGAGAGGTAGTGTTTGGGTACAATGCTGTAGACTTGCCAACAGAGAGTTGGGAGGCAACACTTGAATCTATTGGAGGGAGCTTAAGATTTTCACGTCTTTGCTTGACACGCACTGCTGCTGCTCCTGTCGCTTCTGTTGTATCCTCTTTAGCCAGCTTGAAATTAATTATTAGAAATTATTAAATTTCTATCAAATTATAATTTATTATAATTTGCCTTAAAGATTATAGTGGTAAAACTTTAGAAAACATGCTATTTAAGAAATCTTTTTCTAGAAAATATACGGCCCAATAAGYATTTTCTCCGTTCTAATTTATCAAAATTCTCAAGTTATTCAGTGTCGTAGTTTAAAAGTCTGCCATGTTTATATACTGTGACATTTACGGCACATTAAATAGTTTTGGGCTCCCTGTTGCTAGCAGGCTTCAGCTCAAGAGGGAGAGCACAATCGTAAAAAAGGAATTAAAAACAGTGCCAAACCTCTAGATTTGATTTCAAGGTTTTTAGAGCGTTATTAGATCAAAACAGTTGAAAATTATTCAAAATAAATAAATTGGTATAGCTCCCTTAAGTAAACAGTTCACTTGATTCCCACTTGATCGAACTTTATGCCCTCATATAATGATGATACTTTACTTACTTTCTGATATTGCTCGATTAAGAATCCCCAATTTTCGGGCCAGTATTTCGAGGCTCCATGTTCATGTACAACGTGATCTTTCCTGAAATAAATATATTTTTCGTAAACTAAGATCTTAATCGCAATCTGGAAGCCATTTAGAAGTAATAAACTTTTGCTCGTTCGCTTGGCAACATCGAGTGATAAACTCTTTCACATCAGACCGCAAGGAACTATGAGACTAAAACACCAGAATTAAATCTTCGAGGCGTTCTATTTTAGAGTGTTTTGCAAACACGACTGTGTGAATAAAACACAAGACAGTACAACGTGAAAATGATAAGAGTCAACACAGCTGAAATACGACGTCCTAGTACAAGTGACTGTTCCAGAAAACTTACCAAATTTGATCCTGGGCTACGAAGTTACAACTCGAGCTGCCCTTGCCGAGAACCATTAGTACCTCCTCTAAAAAAAAACTTGTTTTAAGAAAATAAAAGTGAGGAAATTTAGTCTAATAAAGTCTATTGGGCAGCCAATATTGAAGTAACTCGGAGTTTAAGAGCGTCTTGTTGCTGAGTCCAAAAATCTGTCGTCATGGTAACGGGGAACGTATACTCGCATAATTGATCTCTGGGGATTTCATTGTCTACTTATAGCTATAGCTTATACGTAACTTTTTTTTTTTAAGGTTGAGAGGAAAGTTTTTTTAAATGACGAAGCTGTTTTGTATTCTATTGAGAACTTGTGTAATTCACTTTTAGCTGGTACATTTTTGCCTACCGTCTTCTTGTGTGCAGAAAATTTGCTCACCACTGTTTCACAAAATCCGTCCAAAGTTCATTATCTCTGAAAAGACAGCTATTATAATGGGAGCATTATCTCCAGATCTAAAGTGAAAATCCATTAGCACCCAACTATAATAGTTTCACGCTGTGCTAACACTATATATAATATATATATATATGTATATCTTTACTATGCTTACCTTTCTTTCCCTTTAACACTGAGTTACGAGCTTCAACTTGAAAAATGCATAGAAAAGTCTTACAAGTTAGTTGTTTTTGGTGTTTGATACCTGTAGTTGCGAACAATGCTATGTTTTAAGCCGTGCAAAAAGCCACTACAAAACAAAAAGGACTAATAACAAAGCAGATTAATTAACAGGACGTCAATCGATACATGAGCAGGTCTCTGGTCTTTCAGGGACTTTCAGGACTTTCGGGTAAGACTTCGTGTTATTTTCCAAATAATGGTACCATTTCTGGGGGAAAGTCATTATTAGTCATTCGATTAAAAGTTTTTTTTTTATATTTCTGTGACCGAAGCAGCCCCAGACTCGGCACTTGTTTTGGCCAGAGTTAATTGGCTTCTGTCTATCAACGGAGTATTAAGTTAGTAAAGTTTTGATTGACCGAAATTAAAAACCATAGGTTGTATAACATGAAAAACTCAAGTACGTGAAAAAAGAGTGAAGAAATGTTCAAGGTCTGAAGGTTGTAGCAATATGAATAGAAAATGCATCTCACTCGGAATGCCGTATGGTGAGATAGCCCTGGAAGTGTGATTTGTTTCTAAGCGGTAAATGGCACATACATGGTGCGAATGGTAAGTTGTTGACAAGCTGACCACAATAAGGCCAACAAATTTGAAAGTTATTACAACCAATCTCAAAAGTATTTTCGGCTGATAAGTGTGTGTTGGCAGAAAAGACGACGCTTAACAGCGCGTTACCTCGTTCTTGTGGAGAAGCACAAATATAGAAAGCATTCGATTACCGCAATTTTATTAGAAACACTAGAAGAAGGAATGACAACTTAGGTTTGTCAACTAAGGCCCAACTAGGTTACCTCGTTCATGTGGAGAAGTCGAGATAGCAACACTAAAAATTTAATAAGGGCACTCCGATACACTGCAAATAGATTGTTAACCGATTACTTATCTTTTAAGTATTGTACGTGTGCCTGACTGGGATGTCTAATTTGTGTCCTCATTTTGGTAGTTGTCCCCTGCCGGGCTGTCTAGTTTTCAGGTCAGTCATTAGTTTTCACAAGCACTTAAAATGTCATCAAATTATTGACAGAGTATCATAATATCGGTTTGATAAGTTGTTTTGTCTATTTTTGGTCTCGTGGTCTCGTGTGTGATGGTCAACGACACGTACAACTCGAGTAACTTATTCTTTAAATTTTTCCTCAAAGACAGATGATGATATGGCTGGTAAGTCCTTTGAAAACAAAACCAATGCTTCCTTCTCTACAAACGGTAGATCCGATCTACATGGTTTATCTATCTTTGACATCACCACAAATGCGTCAAGCACCGGATCTCTTGCATGGTACGACCGGAATTATTACAGCTACGGCACCGTCATGTTTTTTATTCTGACACTCGGCTTTCTTGGAAACGTACTGACGATTATTGTATTTCTACAAAGAGAGCAGCGAACTAAAGTGATCGCACCGTTTGTCATCAACCTGGCTGTCGCAGATCTTTTTATTGTGCTGTTTGGGTACCCCGTCGCCATTACCGCTAATTTGTCAGGCATGAAACTTGTCTCTGGCGAATCCCGTTGTACGTGGTCAGCATTCGTAAACGGTGCAACAGGCATTGCATCTATTGCAATGTTAACTGAAATAAGCGTTTTAATGTGTTACACCATCACTTCTGTAAAACCAGTGGTCACTAGAAAAGACAAATTCCTTTCAAGAAAGTTTACAGTGTCTGTCCTAGTTGGCGCGTGGATCTACGGGATTTTGTCCATGAGTCCTCCATTGCTTGGCTGGAGTCGATTTGTTCCAGGTTCAGCGGGAATCAGCTGTGGTCCTGAGTGGGGATCCAGTACTATCGAGGCATTGACATACAGCATTGGACTGATGTTTATAGGCTTCTTTCTGCCCATGACAATAATTCTGGTGAGCTTCTACAGGATTTACAGGTACGCATTAGGGTTGTTCTCATCTTTCACGTGTGTAAAATATTTGTCTCTGTGGGAATTTATTCAGTGAGCCTTTGTGCCATTGAAAAAGTTGAATTTTTGAGGCCATAAAAGCTTTTTCGACTACGGTTTTGCTAAGATTAATCAGGTCTGTTTATAAGAAAGAAGAGAAGCCGGTTCAGTGTTCTCTCTCTTTCTCTCTCTCTTTCTCTCTCTCTCTCTCTMTATTTTTTCAATTCAGAACACGTGTCATTACCTTGACTATCATGTCATCTTAACCTAAGGTTTGCCACTTACAGATGCAATTCAGATACACCTAGCATATACCACAGAAATACCATTTTAATTTGTAGCAAGTTGTGATGAAATACACTACGGTTCCGCGATGCCGCAGATGTATGGCGTTATATTCCCGACAAAATTCAACATCAGGCTTTCAACATTCTTATAAAGAATTCAGTGTTTCACTTGCAATGCAATATTGTTAGTTGCTTTTCCGACATTGAAGATTTCGATTTCAACTTAGC